TTTTTCACAAATATAATCTGAGTGTGGGAATGCGAGAGACGAGTCCAAAATATATATAGCTGTGACTAACTACTACTTATTTTATTATTATATATCGTTCTCATTCCTTCTTCATGGCTACCTAAGAAAATAGAAGAAAATGATGCTTTTTAATTAATAATTTAAGGGCATGAAACATTAACACTTGACGCTGAGAGGGAATTTTTTAACTGATTTAGTTTGAATCTAATTGATAGTAATTAAATCAGTATGGAAACTTGATCGTTCAAAAAAAGTCAGTCTACATTTTTTTATTATTGCTGCGTTTAATAATTATTATTTTTATTCGTTTCTTGAATAAAATTGCGAGGATAATTTTTATATAACAACAATTATAAGGATCCTTTTATTCATATCTTTATTTATTACTTTCTCATTTAATAATTTTGTATACGAAATAACTCGTTAGAACAACTTCAAATTCATTTGCATCAAGTATGTATATATTGAGATCCTTAGCCGACAAAGATGTGAATATGAAATAGTCTTTCCGAATATTGGTTACGATATATTGGCATTTGGAACTCTTCTTATTAATTATATTAACCAAACCAATTCATACTTTTCTTCCACAACCCCGGCATATGAATTATCCGGCCGGATTTATAATACTACTTACGGTTTTTAATATAAGAGTTGGTTAACTAATTTGAGTAGATTAAAAAAATTAGTTAAGGTAGTTATTTATAGTAAATATATGTTATCTTTCCTAAAATATCTTTACTAATTAAGTGTATTGGCTATAACTACCATTATTACAAGAACTATCTTGAAAAAAAAGGGATAAACATAAGAGACAAAGTAGATTGAGGTCTTATATTTAGGATCAAAATAAAAATCAAACGAGGTCTTATATTAAGAACCGGAGGTAGTAGAATATAACCGCATTCACATTTTATAAAATTAATATAATAAATATATGGGCATTTTGGCACCTTGATTGATTAAATAAATAATTAAGAGAGAGAGAGAGACACATTCAAATTCAATCGATACCCAAATCTTACCTAGGTAATTGATTAAGACCTTGTGAGTTGTTATCAGCCATCGGTGTTTAACTATTCATGCTTTGACAAGTGGCGCAATTTGTTCTCGAGAAGGAATTAAGCCGCCAATGAGGAAAATTCCAACTATTTTCAGGTGTTTCGTATAGATATTTCATTAATAAAAAAATTAAAACAAAAACTCAGTCTTCTTCGATCTTCGCGTAAATAAAAAAAAAAAGACCAGATCAACCCCTTCTCCTGCAGCTTATAAATACACCTGATTGCCATGCACCGATCTCATCCCTCACAAACAGCAAATTATAAGAGTTGCTATATATATCAGAAGAGAAAACATGAAGACTCTGATCCTTATTGCCTTCTTGGCTCTCTCATCTTCTGCTGTCTTTGCCTTTGATCCTAGCCCGCTTCAAGACTTCTGTGTTGCCATTAACGAAACCAAGACCGGTGGTGGTAAGTATTAGTTACATATCAGCTTTCTCTTTCCTCACTTCCAATCCATTTCCATTATGAAAAGCACGCATCTCAAAGTCTTTCCTTTATTATTTGTGCAGTTTTTGTGAATGGGAAGTTCTGCAAAGATCCCAAGCTTGTCTCTGCCAATGATTTCTTCTACGACAGACTGAAACAAGGAGACACATCTGGTCCACTCGGCTCAGCAGTGAGTCCAGTTGCTGTAAACGAAATCCCAGGGCTCAATACTTTGGGCATATCATTGGCTCGTATAGACTTTGCCCCAAAAGGCTTAAACCCTCCACACACTCATCCTCGAGGCACTGAGATTCTTGTGGTTTTGGAGGGTACTCTTCTGGTGGGTTTTGTTACGTCCAACCCAGAGAATCGCTTATTCACCAAAGTACTGCACAAGGGAGACGTGTTTGTGTTCCCAATTGGTTTGATTCACTTCCAACTCAACGTGGGTTATGAAAATGCAGTGGCCATTGCTGGTTTGAGCAGTCAGAATGCAGGAGTCATCACCATTGCCAATGCTGTGTTCAAATCAGACCCTCCAATTTCTGCTGAAGTTCTCACCAAGGCTTTTCAAGTGGATAAGAACATAATTGCTGCTATTCAGAAACAGTTATAGATAGAAAATTAATATCATTCATCTGAGTTTGAAATGATTTAATTTGTTTCTGGGTTTGCCTATCATTGTAATGTTCGTTGTATGGTTCTTTGTATCTTATTTTTCATGATTGAATAAAATAAGCGATATATGCGCACATTAAGTTAATTATGCCTTTATACACGCATATATGTTGAAAATAAAAATATATATCAACGAATGCAACCAAGCTACTATTGCAACATTGAGGGATAAAGTTCTTTTGATCTCTACAGACCATATACATAAATTTTTGAAGAAGATCTGGCATTTTTCTGCCCAATTCTACGTACCAAAGTAACTCCACTACAATAGACAGTTGGTTCTTATTTATGAAAATCAAAGGAGAACAAATAATCTGTTATCAAATATTATCCCTCAGTTTTGATTTTTGGTAAACTTTATCTGTGTGGTACAAATTAAACAAAGCGGAGGTGATTATTTATCCATCTTTGCTTTGATCATACTTCTCTACCTTCACGATATTGATCGAACTTCTACACTCGCAGTATGTTCTCACAAGTGTTAATTATTTTGTGAATTTTAGTCTATAGTTTCCCTGACTTATCCAACACGTGTTAAAAAGTGAAAGAACAAAAGAGATAAAATATACTCCCTCCACTCTTTAATATAAAAACTAGTTTAACTTTTAATTTGATCTTAAATATAAAGTTTCAATCCACTTTATGTCTCATATTTATATATATTTTTTTCAAAATAATTCTTATAGTAATTGTACATATAAAAGGTTCTATCAAATAGTAGTTCTTGCTAACACACATGTTTAGTAAGGGTATTCTAGTAAAGATAACATCTATTTATTATAAATAACTAATTTAACAAACTTTCTTAATATATTTAAATTAGTATACTAGCTTTTATATTATAAAGACGGAATTTAGCATCATCTATTTCCAGACTATAATTTCTCGTCCCCTTCTTCAGAAGTATTGTTTGAAACAACACACACATATGTGTAGTATTTTATGCACATATTCTTCTGAAACAAAGGCATTAATTAAATTATGCTTTGGAGACTGGATGAATAAGAAGTGATTTTGAGATTACTTGGGTTATGATGTATCATGCACTTTAATTAATTCAATAGCATCCATTGGTCTGGAATACTTGTTGCATGGAAATGCTTCCAATCTACAAAACCAAGTCATACATTTCTTCGGTTTTCACCCAGTTTCGGTCGACGGAGACAAGCATGAACTGTTCCAGAGATAATAACTTATCAAACTTGGAATGGGAGACACATTCAAATACTCTATATATAGACAAACGTACGTAATTCATTCAACTAAACAGCGTACTAAGTCGTAAAAGTACTTAGAACTTATTGTTTGCTGTAAATTATTGCTCAGAATTGACTACATCAGCAGTTTGTTATGTGTGTTCTGACAATATATATATATATATATATATATATATATATTGTGATGTTGAGGAAAGGCAGAAAACACGAGATAATAAAAGTTCCTAACTTGACGTAGTAGTTGTTGAAGAATATATAATTTATTCAATAAATAAACTATATTAATTCTAACTTCAACGTTTCATAAATACACCCAACAACTCTCCATGGACTTGCAGTAACCAGCCGTTTCAGAGATCTTTAAGAGAGACAGGGATTCAAATTAATTCAATAATTTAAAAACAAACTTTTTCAATCAGTAGTCAAACCTCATTAATTTAGCTTATTGTGATCGAACTAATAATAATGCACGCAGTTGACCAGGTCATCATCAGCCAGTTTGTTATCTGCAGAGTTCGATAATAGGATGTGGTATCAAGGAAATATAGAGAAAACAAAAATTGCTTTTCAAGTTCTTTGATTATTTGGAGAAATAATAATTTATGACTAACGGGAGTTAAGTCTAACAGAAAAGGCCAATCCCTCATAACATGATGAATTAAGGTTCGAATCCCTACTGAGAGAGGTGCCCACATTTAGTGCCCGACAGTGTCTCGAATAGGATTGTTTTCAATAACATGATACCTATGTTTTAATAAAATAATAATAATTTATGAAATATTGTGTGGCTAAAAAATATATGAAATTGCCAAAAGCAATTGAATTACCATTTTTATAATATACTAACTAAATTAAAATAAAAATCATCTATAAATATGGGAAATAAGTAAGAAGTCATTTGAATTCACGGAAACAAAAATTGTGTGAGAAACCAGGTGGGTCATCATTACCAACTTATGTTTGTAATGATTATTTGGATCTTCGATAATGCCCAGCTGTATGGGTTAGAGAAACCAGATGGTTATGAACAATGCAACGAATAAACTACATAGAATCATTATCGAAGATCCAAATAATCATTACAAAAATAAGTTGTTATTTTGGGCTACTCCAATTCAATTCTGAAGGCCCAAAATCAATTTTTTGGATTAGCTTTCCAAGACACTCACTTTCCCCTAACGGGCGTTACGTAGAAACTGCCCAAGGGCAAGACGGGGGCAGGAGCCGCTTTTAGCTTTCTTGTTTCTTCTTTTCTTTCCTCCATCTCTCTCCTGGATATAACTTGCCTGAGGCTTGGAGGATGACACTCGAGCTTCTGTGCCTTCCTTCCCCCACAGTCCCGAGGTACTTCTTACTTGTTCCTTCAAATTTACTGACCTTCTCGTTATTCTCGTTATCTCCATCTGAAATTTTCGCTATCAACACTTTGACCTTCTCGTTGGCAATGAATCATCTCATTTTCCATTGGTCTTCGTCATTAAAGGTTTTCCCCTAACGGGCGTTACGTAGAAACTGCCCAAGGGCAAGACGGGGGCAGGAGCCGCTTTTAGCTTTCTTGTTTCTTCTTTTCTTTCCTCCATCTCTCTCCTGGATATAACTTGCCTGAGGCTTGGAGGATGACACTCGAGCTTCTGTGCCTTCCTTCCCCCACAGTCCCGAGGTACTTCTTACTTGTTCCTTCAAATTTACTGACCTTCTCGTTATTCTCGTTATCTCCATCTGAAATTTTCGCTATCAACACTTTGACCTTCTCGTTGGCAATGAATCATCTCATTTTCCATTGGTCTTCGTCATTAAAGGTTTTCTCCTGTGGAAAGCGGAAGAACAGCTAAATGGGCACCGTTCAAAATCCCAAATTCGCCCACTTGTTCCTCAAAGACTCGAAATATGGGCAGATTTTTGTGCTTGAGCGCTCAAAACAGAGGCTTTGGGGAAGCATCTGGAAGAGTTGGTGATGGGGACGGAGTGATTATTGTGGATCACGGGTCGCGTCGCAAAGAATCCAATTTGATGCTTCGTAAGACTAAACCCATAGGCGTATATTATGGTCTCTAAATTTCTGTGCTGTTTACTGCCCCTGTTATTCTACCGCTGACATTTAAATCCGAGGTTTTAACTTTACGTGTTGCGAAATTGGCTGTTATGTTCTTGGAAACGCTTTAATGTGATGCCTAAATCTCGTCATAATTTGAATGTCAGATGAATTTGTGGAGATGTTTAAACATAAAAGTGGATACGAGATTGTGGAGCCTGCTCATATGGTAGTTTTCTGTCATTTATTATTATTGTTTTCTTATGTTAATTCGAGAAAGACGGTAAAAAAAAAAAAAAAAAAAAGAAGGAAGGATCGAGAATGTTGAATAGCAGTTGATGTTTTAATTTCAGCTCGAGCTTTGGGAATCTCTTCTTCATATTGTGGAGAACCCATTATATCATTTCTTAATCTTAGAAAGAGCAAGAGTTGGTCTAAGTTTATCTTTATAGGTGTCCTGTCATGAAACTCCTTGCACCTATCAAGGAATGGGATGCTTCAAGAATAGGTTACAGTTGCTATATGCAATAACTTTGATAGAAAATTCTTACTTTCTTAGTGCCCTGACCCACACTTGGCGTCTTATGCATTTTATGAAGCACTTGTAACCATGAAACTTATGTTGATCCTTCTAATACATTATCAGGAATTGGCAGAACCATCAATAGCAGATGCCTTTGAATCTTGCATTCAGCAAGGCGCATGCCGTATCATTGTCAGTCCTTTTTTCCTCTTCCCTGGTCGGCATTGGCACCAGGTTGGTCTGCGTTAACCCTGTCCTGCTTTTATCGTGTTATCAATAGATAGGAGGTCCCCCCAGAACACCAAAAAGGAGAAGGAGAAGAAAGGAAGTAACAAGATTGATATACTTTGCCTTATTTCACAGGATATTCCTTCCTTAACAGCAGAAGCAGCGAAGGATCACCCAGGTGTGTCATATATTATAACAGCGCCCCTTGGACTTCATCAGTTACTTGTGGTAAGCATTCTTTGATTTATCCCCACCTGTTTTCTTTCGGAGATAAATTAAAATGATTAACCTGAGAGAAACACTCCTAGATGGATGTAACCGCCAACTTTTGTTGACCCTGAAATTCTTAATGTTATGTGTCAAGGTAACTTTGTATGCATTGTTCATGAACGTAATATGGCAGGTTCTTTCTATTTCTAGTTAGTAATAACCTCTTCAGAAAACACTGGGGCTCTCCCATTTCCGGTTCTCATCACAGGGCTACTTGAATTAAGATCCCTTGTGCGTTAGACTGCAGCTTCAACGAAATTTAGGCACACGCTGAAGCCACTTGAACCCTTGGTACTCGGATTTCAAAGTGCAGAGGGTATATCCCTTAAAAACGGATCTGTGTTGCATTGTATCTGTAACTTTAAACTTGATGTCCTGTGCAGGATGTTGTAGATGATAGGATCAAGCATTGCTTAAGGCATGTAGCTGGAGATGCAGACGAGTGTTCAATATGTGCTGGGACTGGCAAATGCAGGCTATATTAATTTAGAAAACTTACTCGTATGGGATGCTCTTGACGTGAAGGCAGATGAATCAGAAAGTCGAGGGAACAAATTATTGCACTGAACAATTGCAATTTTGTGTAGTCTTGATTTTGAGGGAGGCCGTGTTAGTGTTGGCATATTCTTCTATCATTAGCTGCTGCTGTTGGAGCTGAGGTTTAATGTGTCCAGTCCGGCCAGTGTCACAAATTTTTAGTAAAATTAATAGGTTGAATAATCATAATTTACTTTCGCATGTTTAATTGATGGTTTACAAAGGCTCAAATCTAGCCTCCTCGTGTGCACATCCATTGCTTTTGAAATGGAGCTGGGAATTCTGTGTAAAGAGGAGTTGGGTCCTTATGTGGTTGAGATTGTATAATAACCAACATCGCCACCAGATTTCCTTTTATGTTATTTACATCCATTTTCTGTTCGAGACTTTTCACATTTCTCTCATGAGACTCAAAGGTAATTCATCTCTATGGATCATTTATGCTAAATGTTTCCTTCAACCACGTCCATAGTTTAAAGAAAACCCCCATATTTATCTCCATACTTGCTTGGGCTCGAGCTTGAGCTTGTGCCGGGCTTTCCTCTACAGTCGTTTCACCTGCATTGAGGCAACAAAAATCTTCATCAGCACATGAATAAATACCACGTGAAAAAAGTTTCATTACAGGTGCAACGAGAGAAAGGGTTATCTGCCTGAGCTATGACCATAGCCAGCTGCTTCCTTTCTCGTTAGCTGTTTATTGAAAGCCTTAGCTGCACTGAAGACATTTGCAGGCCTTTCCCAACCTCCTCCAAATACACCATACCCTTTCTTCGGTTGCGGCTGAATCAGGAACTCTAGCACTGGCAACTCTTCTGTGTCCACCCAGTGGATGCAGTTGACTGGGCATGACTCAACCGACACCTAAAATTTATTGTCATTGCAGACTCGTAAAATAAATCAACGTATACATGTATTTACTTCACACGAAGCAATATTACTCATAAGCAATTAACACTAAATCTTATCCCAGCTTTGGTGTAACACGTTGATACCGTATTTAGGTCAGTATTTTGCATAATTGACCTTCATAAACTGAGTCTACTTAAAAAATTGTCCAATATCACACGAAATATGCAATTGTTGATGGTAGTTTTTGTGAGAGTTGGTATACCTCAATACTTTGGTCATCATCTCCGTATTGGACTTTTACCCGCGCAGATCCAAGAGCTTCGTCCATAATGAATGTGTTGCTTGCAAAATGCGCACACTCTCCACATCCTGGGGACAAACAGTTAAACCTTAACTTTCTCATGACTGATGCAACAAACAGCTTTATAAATATTTCAGCAGTGGATGGAACTCTGAAAAGCTATTCAAGTATTCACAATATAGTGATAAGTGATGACCTATACATGCATTCTCGTCTACAAATAAGGCATGTGGCCTCAAAGGCCCTTTCCATGTACTGTAACCCAAGGGAGAGTTGTTTTCCGCAAATCTCAGTCTCATCTGACCGATGGATTCATCATACTTCCTTCTTTGATCCTCTGACATCAACACTTCATAAGCCTTATTCAGCAACAATGTGTACTGATGACCCTGAAAATTGAACTTGTCTCAAGTTCAATCTGCCTCTAACGAATTGCAGTAACAAATTCCAACCAAGGACAACGTCTTGCTGTAATAAACTATGGAAAATGAGTAAAACGTTATTGGAGATTAAGGGGACGGACCTGTTGGCCAGTGATATCTGGATGATATTTCTTTTGCAGCTTCCGATACGCTTCTTTGATCTCCTGGGCATTTGACTCAACAGAAACTCCAAGTAACTCGTAGTAATTCTGTTGAGCTCCTGGCTTTTCCGATGCCCTTTTTGTACAACATTTGATTACAGTCCCGTTCTGCCTCCATCTTCAAAAGGGTTTTACGTCAAAACAGCATCGGAAAGAGGTTAAGATGTCGTATATTTTGAACATGCCAGTAACTATTCTTAAAGAGATTTAGGTCAAAGATCAATTCTTTACAGTGGGTCGTTGTTCTTTAGGGAACCGGGTAGATGTTGGCTACTACAAAACCTGTTAAAAAAAGAGTACCTTGACGTGGAGTTATGGAAATTCACATAGCCATGAACTTGAGAAGAAGGCTTTGAACAAGACAGGAGGCAGCAAGTCGAGACCACCCCAGCTGACATAACTCCCTGTTCTAGTCAATCGGCGCCGGCGATGAAGGATTCTTAGGGATATCCTTTAAAGAAAATATCTCTCATTAGATCCAAAATAGATAAAAGCGCAAGTGAAGATATTTTGCTTCCCATTTTTATCTAATATCACCATAATAGTCTCGTTCTTATTGCTTCTGGCGATTAGATGCGTTTTTAAATGAATACAGGATAAGCTTTACTCCCTAAGCAAGGTTGTTATAATATTTTATTTTAATGTAAAAGTTACAATTTAAAATTTCTATTTATACAATTTATAATAAAAATATATATATTTGACTTTTATTTATCTTAGGTTATTTATTTCACTTCAGATTATTTACTAGTGTTATGATTTATTATATTAATATACATACTTTTTTTGGCCAACAATATATTAATATACATACCTACATGTACTGATACACACACATACAAGATACCTTTCTATTAAGAATAAATACTTTATTCACAAAAAAAAAAAAAAAAAAATCAGATGGGCGCAATCTTCCGACCTTTGCTTCTCTATTTTAGCCCCCATTTTCTGTCAGAAATTGATGCTATACTCAGTTACTCAACTTGCCATCACATCTCCAACAAGGTTACTAGTTCTATTATTCCGCAAAGGGCCTGGATTTGTCTGTTACATATGCTTGACATGAAAATTTGCCCAACGCCAACAGTCAGAATCCATAAGAAGCTTATATCTATGGAAAAGTTCTTACCAAACAGAGCACGAACAGCCAATGCAGTGTTATCAGCACATCTAGGAATAACTTCATGTGCTACGGATGTCATTCTCTGCAAGCGCATAAATAAAACCAGCCGAATCAGATATGACACACAATCATGCAGTACATGCAGAGAACTAAACAATAACAGATAAATAATACTTTAAAATTACAAACCAAAATGTCAAACCTTTAGGAATGTGAGTTCTCATCCAATGTCGCATGAAGCATTTCCATGATTGTAGTGCCATAAGTGCAACCAAAAAATTTCTTGAGAGCTAAAGTGAACCAGCCATTCCCACAGGTACATTTACATACTCAGAATGGGGATCTCTTCCCCGAATGCCAGCAATATCAGATTAAGGTGATGTTTCGTGTAAAGATTTTTTAATAAGCTACAAGGAATTACTTGCCCAAGCAATTCAATCCCAGACTGAAATACACCAGCAATCACTAAAAGGGGAGTTTGGAATATACATTAGAAGCTAAAATGGGAAAACTGAAATTCCATGGGTGTGCCTGTGATTGAGGTGCCCATGTTTTGCGGAAAACCAAATGGCAAGGGAATAATAGAGATTCGTGTGAAACTATACTAGAGACATAGTTTCCTTCGTTCTTGAACAAATTTTTTTTTTTTTGAACGAGTTCTTGAACAATTTTAAGACATCCGCATATCATGTGTACTTAAAACTATACTTATAACCAAGAGAATAGATCAATTTTTTTTAAGATCTTCCTTTCTGTCACCCTGTTCATTCACTTTTTCAGGAGTGAAAGCCAGACATAATAATACAGCACCAAGCACTCCCTAGTTTCACTTATCTTCCCTGCGAATAGAAAGCTTATAGTTATATCTCAAAAGATTATAAAATTAATAAATTGATGTATTAAGCCAAGTCGGTTATAATTAAAACGATTGCTGATACGATTGGCAACAACAGCGCTGATTAAGGAAGCGCAGACATTGACAATAACATCCATCCCTGACATTTTTAACATGTTAAGCCAAAAATTATTCCCCTTATCTTAATAATACATCGGTCAAAAATACTTCCTGAGAACGACGGAGGGTGGTAAACAGAACCTTCTTACTTGAGAAACCCAATTTTGTTTACCATACATTATCATGCCTTCATTACTTGAGAAACCCAAAGTCATGAGCAGAAGGAAAATTCCCGATAAATATACTCTGTCCCGAAACAGCAAAAAGATTTCTAAACTATATAAATCCATGGGTGCAAACAGCTGTGATTTTCACCATTTTGACGACCATTTTCCAGTAACACATCACTGAGTTAGCAAACTGTAAGTATTTGAGAATAAAGCAGTTTGATACATCCAATTAAAGATAATGAAACACCATACTTCCCAATTCACCAGATAAGAAAGGTTAATATCACATTGGAAACAGAGGAAATATATTTTACATAGCAGACACGTAACCTGATACACAGATGCTGTAAAAGTCTTGAAATTATAATTCCTGGAATTGAACCGCCACGAGGCATTGTTCTTCTGAAAACCAAGGCGGAAAAGAAAGCCCAATCGTTTACGAAAGCCGCGACGAACTTCGGGTCGGTTCCTTCAAGGGCGGATTGAAGTTCGAGCAACACGCGAGAAATACCCACTACGGAGTCTGTCACAACAGCTCACGAATGGATTGATCTAAAGCGGCAGGGGAGGAGCAGTTGAGGCACTGAGCAATGGCATCTCTTCCGAGTTCCGATTGAAGGTCCAGATACTTTGGTGCTGATCGCAGCTTCGAAAATGTTGAAATCACGGCGTACTTTTGCAGTGATGATTGTGGGACTCTGGTCCTTTCAAGTAAAGGAGCAATCGACTCCACCGAAGACAAATTCAGTGACTTCGGCGGTCGACCAGAGCCGAAAGGGAGTGCATGCTCTTACAGCTCCTTGGGGTTCTTATATATACTGTTTTTTTTTTTTTCGCTCGAAAATTTAACCCGTTAACGTTAATTAAATCAGTCACAATGAAAAAAAAAGAAGTAAGGAGCAAATTATTAACTTTAAAGTTTCCTTTTTTTAATTGTGACCGGTCTAATTTAAATTTTTCTGATTACAATCAATTTATATTTTTTAAAAAAATTACATTGAAAAAGACAGCTGTTATTTTTCTACAGAACGTAAATTGATTGTTTGAGGTTAACCGCTGTAATTTTTTTAAAACATATAAATTGATTGTAATCAGAAAATTTTAAATTAGACCAGTCACAATTAAGAAAAAAAAAAGAGAAACTTTTAAGTTTTTTTTTTTCCATAAGGAACCTTTAAAGTTAATAATTTGCAACAGCTGTCTTTTTTTAAAACTGACAGCTGTCCATTTCAGTAATTTGATTTTTTGCCAAGTAATGTAATTGTAATTTGATTAATGTACAGTTGTAATTTATAATGGCTGTTGCTATTTAGAAAATGCAATAAATTGACGATTGATTGAGGCACCGGCTATAATTTTCTCTAAAACTAATAATTTACAGCTGTCGATTGAGTAATTTCGGGGTAACTTGTAACAGAACGGCAGTTAATTTTTAAATAAAAATTTAAATTAGACAGGTCACAATTTTTTTTTAAAAAAGGAAACTTTAAAGTTCATAATTTTGCAATAGCTGTCTTTTTTTTAACCTACGAGCTGTCCCTTTCAATGTAATATAATTTGTTTTTTTGACCAGCAGTAATATACTAGAGCTGTCCCTTTCAATGTAATATAATTTGTTTTTTTACCAGCAGTAATATACTATCTCCGGTCTTAATTATAAAAACTAGTTGACTAATTTAATGAGATTAAAAAAAATTTAAATTAATCATTTGTAACAAATATGTGTTATCTTTTCTAAAATATCCTTACTAATCAAGTATATTGGCTAGAAGTACCATTGTTAGAATGATTACTTTGGGAAAAAATACATAAATATAAGAAATAAAGTGAATTGAGGTTTTATATTTATGACCAAAATAAAAGTCAAACAAGGTCTTATATTAACAACAGGAAGTAGTAGTTTTTTTGCCAACTAATTTAATTATAATTTGATTAATGTGCAGTCGTAATTTATAACAGCTGTTTTTTTTTTTTTGCCAACAATTTATAACAGCTGTTACTTTTTAAAAAATGTAATAAATTTATGATTGATTGAGGCAACGGCTCTAATTTTTTGGAAAATATAAATTAATTGTAATCCGAAAAATCAGAAAAAATTTAAATTAAACCAGTCACAATAAACAAGAAAACTTTAAAACTAATAATTTACAGGTTACAGCTGTCCACTTCAGTAATTTTGGTGTTACTTGTGACAGAACAGTTGTTAATGTCTGAAAAATGTAACGGCCTAACGGCTACAATTCTTTGGGAAACACTAATCGAATGTAATCATAAAAATTTAAATGCTTAGTATCAATTTAAACACAATATTGATATTTTCTTATTTAGCCATCAATCAATTTTATCAGGAAAAATCATAAGAAAAAACCGCTGAAATAGAAAAATAGCAAATAAGGACATATGACACCATTAGTATGCGTTTTGACAATTATAGTATAGATTTTGATAACAATTTTATAAATGAGTCCCTGTAAGTAATTTTTAAAATAATTATATAAAAATTAGGAAAAATCTCATAAAAATTTAGAAATTACTAAATTCTAAATTAATAATAATTCTTATAAAAATGTGTTATTATTTGTAAGTAAAGTAAAGTCAATTTATTAAAATGTATGAAACAATCTTGAGGAATTTAATAATTTTTATTTTCAGATTCTTTTTGTGAGGGTTTTTCAAAAAATTATTCTAAGAATGAAAATTAAAATTGGATGAAATAATCAGGATAAATTATAAAAGATACTATTTGAATTTCAAAGTCCTAAATTTTGTTTCTTACACTTCAATAGCAGTTAATTACTCTAACAAAATTGATAATAATATGACTATATTTGAAAAGCAAATGACAACACATTTTCGTAAAATTTTCAGAATTTAAATTTTGAAATTCAAGTGATATCTTCTTAAATTTTTTTCTCAAATAATTATAAACTAAGATTAAAATTAAAATTATATTTTAATTCCATTTTAAAATATTTTAATTATATTTATGAAAAATGTGTTAGTGATAAAATATGGTATAATAATAATTTTCATTAAAATTATTATTATTATTCATGCAAAATTAATTATTTTTCTCATTCCCAACCTTATTTTTATTTTTGTTCCTCTCTTTTCAACCCTAAGGTCAGTCTAGAAAATTATGGCTATCACTTAATTTAATTTCAAGAGTAAAACAATATGAATATTCATCATCTTCTTTCTGTATATAAATAAAAAAAATTCTATCAATAATAAAAAAGGCAATAAATATTATAATGAAGATTTAAAAGAAAACTTCGGTTACCCATATGCGTGGGGAATATAGATTGAAAAATTCAGAATTATAATATATATTAAACACTAAAAATAAAAGAAAATAATTTAAAACCGAATAACGATAAACGATAAATAAAAGTAAAAAAGAAAACTTCATTTATTTACCCATATGCGTGGGGAATATCTATTTAAAAATTCATAATTCACAATTATAATATATACTCCCTCCGCTACTATACATAAGCTTTACTTTTGAAAAGATTTGAATATTTATTACCTTTTTTTTTTCCATTTTGTCCACAGTATTTATTATTCCTTCCTTTTCATTGATATTATTTCCATATATTCTTGTTCTTCATTTTTTTTTATTGTCTCTCTCATTTACTTTTTAATAAACAAGGACAGATTTTAAAAAAAAATATTTCTGACCTATTTATTATTTTTAACTAATTTAGTTGTTAGTTTGTTAAACATAATTCGGTTATTTGAAACTTATATATAGGATTGGAGAAAGTATTAAACATTAAAAATAAAAGAAAGTAATTTAAAACCGAATACAAATACCCTTGTCCATGTATTATCAACAACCCCCCAAAAAACCAAAAAAAAAAAAAAAACAACAAACAAAAGAAAAATTCCATTATGTTCCGTTAAATTTTTTTCTGATGAAC